AGTGACTTGTTTAGGATGACACAGCTAATAAATGTCTGAGGCCAGGTTTGAACTCACGTCTTCCTGACTCCAGGTCCCTTGCTCTATCCACTGTGCCTCCTAACTGCCCTCTTAGGTATCACTCTTCTCTTAGACCCTACCTCCCAGTGGTATTGCACAACTTGCTGTTCTTCTGGAACTCTGCAGTAGCTGTTCCCCATGCCTAGAACACTCTCCTTCCTCATCTCTGCCTCTTGGAATCCCTGGCTTTCTTTAAGATTTGGTTCAAGTTCCACCTGCTATACAAAGCCTTTCCTGACCCACTGTAGTTACCGCCCTCCCTTTCAAAAGTATCTTGGATGAATTTTGTATGTATTCAAATATATCTAAATATATTTATGTTGTTGCCTCCATTTGAATGTAAGCTCCTTGAAGGCAGGGATTATTTTGTTTGTGTCTTTGTGTACCAGTGTCTAGCTTAGTGCCTGGTATAAGGTATATATTTAATAAGTACTTGTTGATTGATTAAGGTTTGTCCAACATTTCCTTTCAGCAACCTAACAAAGGAGCTTGACTCAGTATTTTTTTTTTAACATCATTTTATAAAAGAGTGGGGGTGGGGTCAGATGACTTAGGTTCAAATCTTTTATTTTCCAGCTGCTACCTCTGACGATGTGCAAGTCCCTTAACCTCTCCTGGCCTCAGTGTCCTCATCTGCAAGATGGAGCAATTAGATGACATGACCTCCAAAGTCCTTTCTAGCTCTAACACTCTATTGTTCTATGATGAGGAAACAGAGCCTTGGAGGAACAGTGCACATCAGAGCTGAAATTCAAACCCAATTCTCTTCTGATTCCAAGTCCAGTGCTATTTCTATTGTACCACATTGCCTTGGCAAATGACCAGAACTGTCCCAAAAGGGAGTGGGCTGCCTCAGGAACTTGACCCCAAAATTGAGTAAGAGCTAGATGACCTCTTGTCAGGGAGAGCATTTGATCAGGGGCTGAAACTGATGTTCTCTGATGGGCAGGGTCTCTCTCTTATCTAAATCATGTCATATCTCTCTCAGCACCAAGCATACTGCTCTACTTATAGAAAGGTTTAATGAACATCTGCTGTTGTTTCTAACTCTGAGATTCTCTGGTCTCTCTTTTAAAAAAAAATCCAGTTTATAGTGAAGTCATCATTACTACATTAGCTCTTCCTCTTTCCCCTTATTTCCCATCCTACTCCTCCCACATCCTTTAAGCTCTTCCCCTTCTTTCCTCCCTCCTTCCCCTTATTCCTCTTCCCATTCCTCCCACATCCTCTATTCTCTCCCCTTTCTTTCTTTCTTTCCTCCCTCCCCTTATTCCCTATCCCACCCTTTCTATATCCTTTATCCTCTCCCTCCCACTCCTTCCCATTGTCTCTTTAGCTCTTTCCCTCTCCTCTCTTCTCACCACCCCCAGAGCACTCATGGGCAGGATGCCAGGCAGGAAGTTGAGGTTTTGATGCTCATGGCGGAGGGCACTAGAGGAAACATGAGGGGGAGTTGAGGACAGAAAAGGACATGCTTGGAGTGGGAGCTGATAAACTGGAGAGGGTGCTCAGGATCCGGAAAGGTCTGAGAGCTATATTGTACTCAAACCAACTGAAGGAATGAGATAGTTAGCTTGGAGAAGAGAAGCACTGGGGGATAGGAATGGGACATGAAAGCTTTTTTCAGATATCTGAATGGCAGTCACATGGAAGAGACTTTCTTTATGGGGATGGGACTAGGCCTGTGATTTCATTGGCACAGAACATCCTCAATGAGGAAAATTCCCTCTACCACAGGGTGGGGCAGCACTTGCTTTGAAGAGTTACGTGCTCTACTGAGCGATGAAGTATTGACTTGCCAATAGCCAGTATGTGTCAAAGACAAAATTTGAACTCGGGATTTCCTGTCCCTAAAGAAGGCTCTGTATCCACTGCCACAAGCTGCCTCTATGCCTCTTGTACAAAGTACATGTTTATGAAATACTTGTAGAAGTGGAATGAACAGAAGGAGGGACTGTCTGCTAATTATACTCTCTCAACAATTGAATGAACTTCCTCATGAAGTAATGAGTTTCTCATCATTCCAAGTGCTCAAGTGGAAGCTGCATGAGCCCAGGTTAGGAATCCTGTATAAGATATTCCCACATGGGTTGGGGTACTAAAACACATGTGCTCTATAAGCTTAGGATATAGGGGGGGCATGGAACCAAACAGGATCATAGATTTAGAGCTGGAAGGGACCTTACAGGTCAACCCCTCAGGGAAGTTAAGTGACTTTCCCCTGGTTAGCAAGTGTCAAAGGCATGATTTGAACCCAGGTCTTCTAACTCCAAAGCTATCACTCCACTCACTCATCCACACAGCTTCTTTTCTCCTTCATCATTTTGTTGAAGGTCAACCTTAGGGCTGAAGGTCATCCACGACTGAGTAGTCCCCCTTTCCCAACCCTTGAGGCAGCTCCATTCCCATTGCCCTTTGAGATCTAATTATGCTGTGCACGGCTGGGGAGAAGGGTCTTGTTTCAATGAGAAAGGAAGAACAAGGCAAGAACATCAGGACTCCAGGGAAAGAAAGGTATCATATAATGTACCTTTATTTGTCTCTCTAGACTCTTGGAAACTTACATAACAATCGTGCTTTAATTATGACACCATTTATAGACAGTTAAAATGCATTTTCATTTATAAATATTTTACATTTGGTCCATAGAACAGGTTTTTTTCCCTTCTAAATAATACTGTACTCTTTTAACAGGCTCTGTATATATTTTTGAATATGTATATATTACATATATATTTTTATATAGAGATAAATTTGCTTGGTGTTTCTGAGAATAAATTCCTTATTGCAAAAAGCATATATGATAATACAATATCTGTTTTTTTTCTTTCAGGGCAGATACTACAAAAAGTTACAGTTATTCACAGTTCACACAGGAAGACTACAACACTAATTTTGTGCTATATATGAGATGTCTAGGCAGAAACCAGTGCAGGGACTTCTTGCCAGACATCTTCCTTACAAATGTTTACAGTCACACATGAAATACTTGGCAATGAGCTTAGAACAACATGGGATCCGCTTAACATTCAACACGAGAGAAAAGGTGGAAGAGGTTTTCTTTTTTATTCTAATGGAAGTCCAAAGACAGTATGGGAATGATGGCTTGATAGCATGAGATTATACCGTGGTGGGTTTCTTTTTCTTCATTTCAAACCCCTAAGATTTACAAGATGTCTTTGTTTCATAATAAGTTCAGCTATCAACATTTAAAATGCCTCATGGTTGATGCTATATTACAGTTTGGAAATGGTCTCAAAACTATTGAACAATTTTTTGCAAGTGAGACCGGGTATGATGCAAGCAGAAATAGATGTGTATGTGCTGTGTGTATTTATATATATTATATATGTATATATGTGTTTTCTACAATAATGTGCTTAACATTCTGAGAATAATAGTTTATTGCAAGAATGGGTATATGTTGGTCACCTTCAGACAAAAACGACAAAAAGATAAACTGAGTCACAGTTAGTTACCATATTTGTCACAGGTTTGCCCTATGCAGTTTGAGGGCTCGCTAAGAATTTATTTATGATGCACAGAAAGTTGGTCATGAAAACATACTGCATCACACATTTCTCTCAGCTGTTTACAATCAGACACTGGAATCCTTCAATTTTCAGATGTCTTAATTGGAGCTGCCAAAGGAGAAATGCTCGGTGAATGGAATATTAGTATTTTACCGAGAAACTGTCCTCACACCATGGCCACCATCACCTTGCCATTGCTACTGACACTGTCACTGTCATCGACACACCTTCTTAAAAGGAAAAAAAAAACCCAACCCAAATCCCCCAAACCAAAAGGTTGTGTGCATGTGTGTGTTTTAAATCTTCAAAGTGCTGCTGGGGTTCCTGGAGTAACATTGGTGACTTTGTTAGGGCCTTGGAGACCAGACTGGCATCGGCAGGGAGAGGATGGAGGAAAGCCCTTTACTATATAGAACTCAAGAATGATGGTGAGGTGCTAAGGCTTCAGATGGGGTGGTAGGGGAAAGGGAGAAAGGAATAAATAGACAGGTCAGAGCTGAGCCTTGGTTAGGCCCTTTTAATTTGGCTAAGTCTGCAGCTGTTTTGTACTTTGAGTTGGGCATCTTGGGACCAACATATGATGGCACTATCTCTGCTGACTTTCAGCAATGGGACATTTTTGCCCCTGGAATGGTTGGAAAAAAATTCTTGTGTATTTCCTGCACCCACATGGGCAAGTAAGAGAGAAACAGGCTGATCATTAGAAAAGCCTGATTGGCAGTTTTCTTTTGGGGATGGAAAGTTTTGCTGCAAACAGCTCTGGGGAAGGATTAAGCTTGTGCTCTAAGAAACCGATCTTTCTGATCTGATTTGGGGCCGGTGGTTAACGTCACTCTGCTTAAGCTGCCTCAAAAGAAAGAAGAATGCAAGAAATAACCAAAGAGCAGAGCTGGTTACGGACACCTTAAGGGCAAGCTTTCCCTGGAAATCTTCAGCATACAAAATACTGTATTCACACATACAAAACAGCTTTCAAATAGAATGGAACTCCTGCAAAGTCAGAGATAACAGTCACGGGTAAGAAATAGGTCACGAAAAGGATGAAAAAATCCATAGCACAGAACCTCAAAGCATTGGTTGTGCTGTCACGAGGTGGGATAAAAATGCCCTATTTGTTAATTACAAATTCCACAATAATTCAATTCTTATTGAGAAAGGATTAAAAACATTAACAGTCTGTGGATTGCTGGAAAGCCACCAGTTGTTTCCACCCACTGGAGCCCACCAAACGGTTTGACAGTCCCCACGTCACTTCCCTTTGAGTGGTGATGGTCTCTTTTTTTTGCCACTAGAGGTAGGTTGATCGATAGTATCTTCAGACATCAATTTGTGGTCATGTTCAACCAGGTTAGATTGAGTGATAGTTTTCTCCAGCGTCCTCTTGGTCTGGGTGCCATGGGCAACCTGCTAGATGTAGGCTTCTTTGTTTGCCGAATTGCTTGACTGGGGCTGCTCTGGCCCATTTTCTGGACGAACTATATCTTCACTGGGCTGGATCATGACCTGGAGGCGCTGTGGGGTGGGGGGGAGGGGAAAGAAAGGGTATGAAGATACCTGAGGGAGTTCTCCAGAGGCCACTGAGTGGGCATTGCTGAGGAGACCTGGGGATACCCCAAGACCAGCATTCTTTATACTAAATATGTTTAAAACACTGTCCCCAGGCCATCACACTCCAGAGTTCAGCCAGAAACAGATGAAAATGTCATTGAGAAATATTTAACAAAATAAATAAAAATACCATAAAACCTAGATAATGCCACCTTTTAAAACTAAGTCAAGATGTGGCCCATAGGGAGCTGACATCCTAAAGAAGTTATGGTCTGAAAGGCAAGACCGCTGCTCTTAGGAGTTAGTCCTAAGACCCAGGTTTGAGTCATAGGAGTTGTCTGATTTGGGGCAAGTAGTTTGGGCTCTCTACACCTCAGTTTTCTCATCTGTGAAATGGGGATAACATGGCATACTTTTCACGAACAGTGTTGTGGACTTGAGTCAGGCAGGATTCAAATTCTACTTTTGAGGTTTAGGTCCTATATGACTTTAGGCAAGTAGCTTAGGCGTCTCTGAGCTTTGATTTCTTCATCAGTCAAATGGGGTTAAAAATACCTGTAGTACCACCCCTCACGGTGTTCTCGTGAGGCTCCAGTGGGACAGTGTCCAAAAGTTCTTTGGGAACTTGCATATTTACATTTATAAAAACACTAAGAGTAACAATGGCTAGCACTTTTATAGCACAATGAGATTGGAACACACTCTACAAATCTTAGCTCACTTTAACTTTACAGTAACCCTGAGAGATAGATACTATTATTATTCCCATTTAAAGGATGAGAAAACTGAGAGTGACTTGCCCAGGGTCACACATCTAGTAAGTGTCTAAGGCTGCAGTCAAACTCGTCTCTTTCTGATTCTAGGTCCAGAGCTCTGCTCACTGCACTAATTAGTGGCATATATGTACATTTCTATGTTTATGTCTAGGTACACATACGTGCATATGCACATATATGTGTATATGCATACATATGTACACCCATGCAATGCAAATATTAATATAAACAAGTAATGTAATATATGTCTGTAAACCTATATGCCCACATATGTCCCTATGTACATATGTATATATACATATACACACATGCATGTAGACACTCAAATGGTACACATGGTTCAAAGACTTACCTGTGGTCATATAGCTAGTATATATCAGAGACAGGACTTTGATCCAAGTCTTACTGATGCCAAGATTGGACCTGTATCCATGATGCCATATTGCCATATAAATGTTAGCTGTCCCTATTATAATGCCCTAACTCCCACGGTTGTCGTGAGGACATCTTTGTAAATCTGAAAAGTCCTATAATAACTCAATTATTTATCTCATCAGTTACGTCATGTCATATTGTTTCATGTGTGCTAGAAAGCTCCTAAGGGGCAAGGGATGTGTCTCACAATTCTCTTGTATTGCCATGACACCTAGTAGTTTCTCAGAAAATATCTGATGATTCTTGGGTGAAGTGGGAGAGAAGCTTTTGGTTGAACTTTGGTCCAAGGAGAATGTGGCTTAAGGAGACAGGCTTGATTGTGCTCCCAGGGACTGTGTCCTTACCTGCTTTAAGGAGCCCTTTAAGGTCAGGAACATGTAAGCCATATAGCCGGGGATAAGGACCATGGAAGACAAGGCCATGAACCAGCCCACACCTTGGCCCCACTTGGGGAACACATAGTTGCCCATGGTGAGTGGAGTCATCTGTACTGCACTGAAAATGAAGACACCCTGGGAAAGAAGCACACAGGATAATACAGGCAGTCAGTCGGCTATTTGGGCCTATACTACACGTCCCTTAAACCCCTTTGCAGAAACAGCCTCTTGCCAGTCCCTAAAGGGATCTTTATCATGCCTAGGTCCTCCCCAAACATGACACTGGGGATACCATTCATGGTGACCAGTTATTCTGGGAGCTTCTGGGGTGGTGACCCTATCATCAGGGGCTGGGGCAGCTTTCCACTATGGTCTTGGACACTTAGTGGGGTACCCAACTATGATACTTTGGGCAGCTCTTAGGTCCCTCTGGGTGGAGGGAAACTAGTTCTTTGCAAATCATAAGGATCCAAATCCAGCTGAATGCCTTTCTTGCCAAAGAAGAGATAGGATGGGAAGACAAGCATGTCCAAACAAGCCGGGAATCTTTGGATATGGCCCTAGACTCTCCTAATGGCCTGGATACCCATCCCTTTTTGCTACCAGAGGAAAGTTCTCATGCATCAAGTGCACCTGGGTCCAGGGGTCATCCTTACCGCCACAATGATTGGAGTGAAGAAGGACCAGCAGAGTTTCCACCAGATGCAGGGCCGGGAGCCAACCATCTCCTGGATATTGTCATAAAACCGGTTGACTCCTAAGAAAAGAAGAAAAAAATGGGTCAAGGATGAGATTCAGGTAGGATCCTGCCTCATCCCCAAAGAGACTTGGGTCTGTGGACCTTACCACAAAAGCCTTGTTGGGAAAAAAGAGGGAATTGAGATCCAAAAGGAGGTAAGCTCACAAAGTAAAATAAAAAGTTTCGGGACAAAAATAAAAAGTTTCAGGACACTTGGCCTAGTGTTCCTCTACTGTATTGCCTTCCATCCCCAAGCTGAATTAAACATATGGGTACACTGAAGTGGAGGAGGGGGGCTACTTTTCCACAGAGGCTGGGTAGGCCCGATTGGGTAGAACTTCCTTGGGCTCAAACCATTGCATTCACTTCTTTGCCTTTTTTGTCTTCAGGGGTAGGGAAGGAAAACTGGAGAGGGGCAGGGATAGAGAAAGGGAGAATAGCAAAACACTCACCATAGCACCAGGAGATGGAAACACATTCAAAGAACACCAGGAAGAGAAGGCTCATTCCGCTGGCCGAGTAGTAATCAAAAAGCTTAAACACATAAATCCCACCCTGTAAGAGCAGGAGAGATTCACTTAGAACTCCAGAAAACTTCATGGGAGTAGCTAAAGACTAGGAGAGTAGGGAGAGATTTGAAAGTTAAACACAAAACAGGTGAAATCAGGGAAGACTATGTGCTAGAAAGGTTGATTCACTGTTGCACAGGTCTAGTGTGAGGAACATGCATTGTAAAATTTAGAGCACACTCACAATGTGTGTGTGTGTATGTGCGTGTGTTCTATGTGAATTTGGAAAAAAAAAAGATTAAGTGACTCTAAGAACAATTGGAGTTTAGACCCTTCCACCTCCCAGACAGGGGTGGAAAGATGGACACCATGACTATCTGGGGTCCCAGTATTCTAATGCCATTTAATCAATAGAACAAGGTGAATTTTGGTGTAGAGGTGGTTTGGGATAGCTTTTTAAAAATTTAATTTTGTGAGTCCAGATCTTTGATTTCAGTGGTGTAGGGAGTAACTTAGTATGGAAACTCCTCTAGTGATGCATATCATTAACTCAACTGTAATTTATAGTCTTAGAGAGTTTCCTGGGGCACTGAGAAGTGACTTTCCCAAGGCCACACAGAGGGGATGTTTCAGAGGTGAGATCTGAACTTAGGTCTCCCTGACACCAAAGCTAATGCTCTAGGCACTATGCTATGCTGTCTCTCAAACAACGGTTTTGTAAGTTGCATGAAACCCACAACACTCTTGAGTGTGGCCCTAACCAGATTAAAACATACTTGGGAAATATTTAACAAAATACAATAGAACATAGATAATGCTGATATGTGATTTTCTAAGTCAATATAAGGTCCACAGGGATGTTTATGTATAGTTTAGCCACCCCATTTCTTTTTGCACTGGATACCACTGGTTTAGTAGACTGCAAAAGATCTGACTTTGGTGGATATGATGAATATACTTGTCCTAGGACACCAAGCTGCCTGGCATAAATAGCATCATTGACTTGAAATAGAACAAAATCCTGCTTCCTCAATGAAGTCTTCTTGGAGAGTTCTAGCCCTCAGAAGTCACTCCCTTCTCTGAACTCATGTAACATTCACTCACTCATGGTTTCCAACATTCTGGCATGAGCCCAGGACTAGTCTTGAATTTTCACTCGTACAACCTTTTACTGTGTTCGTGGGGGGATTTGTTTTACATCCTGTTGGGCAGGTCAGTCCCCTTGCTCCAACTTCTTCATGGTGACCTAAATTCCCAAGACTTTCTGTCCCCTGTGTGTTTGGTCAAAGGCTGGCTACATGCGTACTGTGATTGAACTCTATTATGATTTGTTGATGAGGGGCAGGCTGGTATAATGGAGAGAGCTAGCCTTGGCTTCGGAAAGACCTGTACTGAAGTCTTGCTTCCGACTTGTACTGCCTGTGTGACTCTGGGCATCTCCTCCCAGTCACCTAGTTTCCCCCTTAGTTGTTCCAGGCAGTGATCTATGACTACAAATGGTAGAGGAGGTGCTTATCTGCACTGATAGAGGGAGTTTCCTCATCCAGGAGTCCCAAAGGTGGTGAAATTCCTACTATTGGTTTACTGTTCCTCCCCTCAAATAGGCTAAACAATCAGCTCTGAAGGGGCTATATCTTTTCAAAGCACTTAGCTCCAAGCTAGGTAGACTGGATACTCAGTAAAAATATTCCGAATGAATGAATGAAGAAAGGGAGGAATATCACTCAATAAATGACAAAGGTCTTGGTCTCTGCTACGAAGTTATAGTATTCTCTTCTGGACTCTGTACAAGCCCTCTTAGATAGTTAAATGGCACAGTGTATAGAGTGCTCAACCTGGAGTCAGGAAGACCTAGTTAGAATCTAGCCTCAGACACTTACTAGCTGTGTGATCTTGGACAAATTACTTAACCTCTATCTGCCTCAGTTTCCTTATCTGTAAAATGGTGATAATAAAAGCACTGATAATAATAGTACCTACCCGCCAGGGTCATTGTGAGGATCAAATGAGATAATAGATGGAAATGAAAGCCATCATTACTAAACTCAGAAGTCCCTAGTGAGAGGTCCTGGGTACAAGGATTTTGGAGGGGGGAGCAGAGATGGGAGTGGCAGAAGGGAGAGGAAAGTAGCACTCACCTGAGTGATGTTGGAGAGACCAATCAGGTAGGAAACAATGCATACGATGGCGATGAAGAGCTCCCTTCGGCTACGGAGCAATCTTGGGAACTCATCGACCAGGGCTGTAATGAACCCTTCCACAGTGCAGAACTTCCAGGAAGATAACACAGAGGAGGTTAGTGCTCTCCCTCAGGGACCTCCATGAACTCCCTACCCAAATCCCAGCAGGTCACTATCCCATTCAGACTAATTGGCATGAGGAGCAAATGGTCCTGGCTATCTTGGGGGGTCCTAGATTTCACAGAAGACTTAACATCTCCGTACATTCCCCGAAACACATTAGCTTCCACTTCTGCCATTTGGCCCCACCCAGAATTCGTTTGGGCTAGACTTGACACAATAATGCCCAAAATCATGAACCAAATCTCAGAGATGTCTCTAGGAACAAAGATTTTGTCTTTGCCTAAAGCTTCCTTTGTATTGTAATTCTCTGGAAACAGAGCAGGGTGGTACTGCCAGGCAGGTCCCAACATTTAAAAAAATTACAACTGTCTAATAATGGAATTAGCTATCTTATGAGGTAGGGAGACTTTTGTCTCAGGCAGCATTTCTGTCTCAGAAAGTACACAATCAATTAAAAAGCACTTATTAAACACCTCCTATGTGTTAGTCAGTTGATAAACATTTATTTATCGCCTACTCTGCGCCAGGCACTGTGCTAAGTGCTGGGGATACAAAAAGAGGCAAAAGCCAGTCCCTGCCCTCAAAGAGCTCACAATCTAACAGAGTAGGGATGTCCATCTGTCAGGAATGGTATAGAGAAAATTTCTGTATTGGGTGTGATTCTAGATGACATGACTCTTAAAGTTCCTTTTCCAACTCAAATCCTAGGATCACGTCACAGCTTGTAGCCAGGGATTCCTGATCACTAGATACCCAAATTCTAGAAGATCTTCTATCAGGCTATTAAATAGCCTGATAGTGTCATGCCATCCAGCCAAATCTCTGGAACAGTGCAAAAATGGCAGGCTTTGGATGAGAGAACTGGTACCTGAATCCAACCTATCACTTACTACTTGTGTCACTTGGTTAAGTCATTGACCTCTAGGCCTTGATTTCCTCATCCGTAAAATGAGAGGTTTGGATTAGATGACTCCTAATATGCATTCCAACTCTAAATCCTTTTCATCTTACAAAGCCAGAGAGTAGGCTACAGAGGGAAAAACGAGGCAGAGAGTCCTCACCTGACTGTCAATACCCAGCATGAGCAGCATGGAGAAGAAGAGGATGGCCCACAGTGGAGAGATGGGCAGCTGGGTTACTGCTTCGGGATATGCCAAGAATGCCAGCCCCGGACCTGGAGAAGATTCAATTTAATTCAATTTAATTCAATTTGCATTTATTAAGTTCCTAACTGAACTTCCTTTGTATATGCCCCCTTCTCTCCTCCGTGAAGAAGTTCACCACCATGGTGAAGAAGGCCCTTACCACCTCAAGTCTAGACTATTGCAATTGTGTTCTGGTTTCTCTCTCTGCCTAAGACTCTTCCCACTCAAGTCCATCTTCCATACAGCAGTCAATTTGATTTTCCAAAAGCCTAAGTATGACTATGTCATCCCCTATTCAGTAAACTCCACTGGCTCCCTATCATCTTCAGGATTAAATGGAAAATCCTCTGGTATTCAAAGCCTTCATAACCTGGCCCCTCTCTGCTTTTCCAGTTTCTCGGGCCTTACTCCTCCCACAAACTCTGAAATCTAACAGCTCTGGTCTCCTGGCCATTTCTAGCCCAAGACACTATCTCCCAACTCCAGGTATTTTCAATGGCTGTCTCTTCCATGCCTAGAATTCTCTCCCTCTTCATCTCTACCTCCTGACTTCTCCGCTTCCTTCAAGTCCTCGCTAAAATTCTGCCTTTTACAAGAAGCCTTTCCCAGGCCTCTTTAATGCTCATGCCTTCTTTCCTCTGTGGATTATCTCCAGTTTATCCTGTATAGCCAGGATGTACCTTGTTTTTATATAGCTGTTTACATGTTGCCTCACTCGTTAGACTGGGAGCTCCTTGAGGAAAGAACTGGTTTTTTTGTCTTTCTTTGCATCTTCAATGCTTAGCATGGTGGCTGACACATAGATGACACTTAAATGCTTCCTAATTTATTTGAACTCTGCATTGTCAATGAACTGGGAACATGAGGAAATCAGAGAGTACCTTTACTGTCTTTCTATCTGTGATAGTTCTGGGAAGGCTTCTCTGGATATAAAGCAGAGCAGAAAAGCAGGGGGCCCCAGACTCATGAAGATTTAGGGTGTCTGAAAGTACATTAGACTTGCAATTAGAGGTCCCATACTGTTTACTGTGTAGCCTTGGACAAGTAACTTCATGTTTGGGGTCTGAGTTTCCTCATTTGTAAAATGGAGGAATTTGACTAGGTGACCTCTAATATCTGTCTCAGACTTAATTCTCATGCATCTTCTGACTGCCAAACAATAGGGCCAAAAATGGCCACCATTTTTATTAAAGGGTGACATTTAGGTAGGTGGCATTGTGGATAGATTGCTGGGATTGACTTCAGGAAAACCTGAATTCTAATCTTGCATCAGACACTTATTTTCTATGTGACCCTGGGTGACTCTATTAACCTCTATCAGCCTCAGTTTCTTTAACTGTAAAATAAGGATAATTACAGCACAATTTCACATCATGGTTGTGGGGAATGAATAAAAGCAGCTTCAGTTTCTTCAAAACTATAAAATGGGGATAATAATAGCAACTACTTCCCAGAACTATTATGAGGATCAAATAATATATGTAAGGAATTTTACAATTCTATATAAATGCTTCTCCTCCTCCTCCTCCTCCTCCTCTTCCTCTTCCTCCTCCTCCTTCTTCTTCTTCTTCTTCTTCTTCTTCTTCTATTTCTTCTTCTTCTTTTTCTTCTTCTTTTCTTCTTTTTCTTCTTCTTCTTCTTTTTCTTCTTCTTTTTCTTCTTCTTCTTCTCCTCCTCCTCCTCTTCCTCATCCTTCCCCCCTTTAAGGTTCTGTGCTTGATATAATGTGGATAATATAAACATGATTTCTGCCATTAAAAAGCTTATAATCTAATAGTGATGTACATAAATCATTATCATACAATCAGTATATAAAAGGAACAAGAAATACGATGAGATCAGAGGGGTCAGGCTGAACAAATCAGTGAAAGCTTCAGGGAGGAGATGGCATTTGAACAGTGGCCAATCATTGTTTTCTACCCCAACTCCCCAGCACAAACTACTTTTGGTCCCCTCTCATTCATGTTGCCTTTGTCTTAATTCCTACGCCTAGCTGTAAACAAACCCAGGCCTATTGATCTCTTACCTTTCCTTTGAGGATCAATCCAAATGTCACCTCTTCCAGGTAGTCTCTCCTGATTCCTTCATCCTACACCAAGCTCCTCTTCTCTGAACTCCCAGAACCCTAGGTATCTTTACCACAATCTTTTGCCCTTAGGAGGTTGTTTTGCAAAGTGGGCTGTTTCTCATGTGTTACTTTTGTCTCCCCAAGTAGATTGCAGACTCCTTGAGGGTACGGGCTGTCTTTGTATCCTGAGTGTAGTGAAGACAGCTGCTCCATAGATAACTTATTTTATTAGTAATTAAGGCCTCAGTTAAAGTGCACACGTTATCTGGGAAAGGTAACTCACTAACACATTGACCCTAGTGTTTCTACATGGCTAGCAGAGAGGGAATGTGACCCAGGGGGAGTAAGTTTTGATGGGATGGAGTGGGAGAATTGGGGGCTAGGAAAAGTCCCATAGGCAGAGTCTTGTGGCTATAATCTTCCCCCCACCACACCTATACACCTCCTTTGCTTGTCCAAGGCTCAGGTCAAGTTCATCCTTCATGAAACCTTCCTTGACTTCTTCACCTTGCCAATTACCAGAGCACTTTCCTATCTGTATCTCTCACTGGACACCAAATCACCAGTAAAGGGGAGTCTATGCTATTTTTCCTTGGGTATGTCCAGTTTTCCAGACCAGAATGTAAGCTTGTGGAAGGCAGGGATTATGTCTCAGCCCAATCTCAGACTGAAATTTCATGTGTTTTAACTGTATGGAACTTCCGTATCTGCATTGCCACAGTCTAAACTTGGTTTCTCTGAACAAAATCTTATTACTCTGATCACACAGATGTCTGAATAAAGAGATAGAGAACTGTATAGTATGACCCAGGGACCATAAAAATAGCTAGTGAGGACTGGGGTTTGAGATACCCAGGTGGAGCAGTGGATAGAGTACTGACTTTGAACCAGGAAGACTTGAGTTCAAACTGAGGCTCAGACACTTACTAGTTGTGCTACTCTGGGCAAGTCACTTATCCTCTGTCTGCCTCAGTTTCCTCATCTGTACAATGGGGATAATAATGACACCTATCTCCCTGGGTTATTGTGAAGAACTAATATCTGTAAAGAACTTTTCAGACCCTGAAGTGCTATATAAATGTTAGCTATTGTAACTTGTTTCTCCCCTGGTTTCCTTATCCCTCATTCATGCTTCATGAACACATGATAGTCTTCCATTAAATCATTTTTTTGGACGGTGACTATGACAACAATTCTCACATTACTTCCCTCCCAATACAAAAATGCACACAACAGGAATGGGGCTTGGAGGTGCTTCTGGTGGATTGCAAGAAGAGTCTTCTGGTATGGTCTAATGCTGAGTGAAGTGAGCAGAACCAAGAGAACATTGTACACAGTAACAGCCACATTGTGTGATGACTAATATTGATAGACTTAGCCCTTCTCAGTAATACAAGGATCTAAGACATCTCCAAAGGCCTCATGATGGAAAATGCTATCCACATCCAAAGAAAGACCTATGGAGTTTGAATGCTGATCAAAGCATACTAGCTGCTATTTTTTTTCTTCTGTTTCGTTTTGTTTTCTCTTTCTGGTGGTTCCTTCTATTGGTTCTAATAATTCCTTACAACACCACTAATGTGAAAATATGTTTAATAGGAATATATATGTATATCCAGATTGTGTGCCATGTTGGGGAGGGAGGTGGATAGGGAGGGAGAGAAAAATTTAAAACTCAAAAGCTTATGGAAGTGATTGTTGATAATTCAAAATAAATTAATTAAAAAAAAAAGAAGAGCCTTCTGGTGACAGTGAACTTGATTCTTTGGGGGACCAAATCTAGTCCCAGACTAGCTCCAGGTCATGGCCTCTCCAAGGTTGTGCACCCCAACAAAGGCAAAATAATAACCTCTTAGGGCTTTGTTCATAAGTAGACTTCTAATTTTAGACTTCTTGGCTAAGGGCATAGTAGCTAATAGATTTCTGCTCAGACCTCCGAAAATGGAGAGACTGTCAACTGTGAATCTCAAAATACAAAAAAATTAATTATCTTCTCTTCGGTTCCTTCTCCCTCCTCTGATCTCCTGCAGTACTTATTGTCTGTATCATTTACCCCATACTGACCTGGGGAGTAGTTACTTGCATTTACCGCTCCAATTAGATTGCTGGCCCCTTGAGGGTAGGGTCTCTATCCTTTTATAATTCACTTGTATGTAGTGCTTTCTTCCTAGAAATCGCACATGGTAAGTAGGCCAAATAGGATTAACTATATGTCAGATGGGCAAACTGAGATTTAGAAAGGGGAAATGATTTATGAGAATAAGCACTAACTCTGGAGCCAGAGGACCTATGTTCAAATCTCCCTCCTGGTACTTCACCTGTGTGAACTTGGACAAATAGCCTACTCTCCCTTCGCTTCAGTTTTCTCACCTAAAAAAATAGGAGATTGGACCAGCTGGGCTCCAGGGCCCCTGCCAGTTCTAGATTTATGAATCTAAATCCCATCTCCAATTTTACTCTCTGTGTGACCTTGGGAAAGTTACCTAATCTTCCTGGCCCTCAGTTTCCTCTTTTGTAAAATGAAGGAGTTGGGCTAGATGGCCTCTGGGATCTCTTCCATATTGAAAATCAATGATCTGATGATAGAATTGGAACTCAAGCCTTGGTCTTCTCAATTCAAGTCTGGTATTCTTTCATCTGCATCCCACCTATTCGGTCTGACTTTTCTTAGCATCCTCCCTTCCATAGGACCTGGCACAGTACTAAGAATGTGATAAGGGGTCATTAAGTGTTTGTCGGTGGAACTCTGCTCGCTCATGCCCAAACTGGAGAGGGACAGCTAGAGAACAGAGAGGAAAGAGGAGGAGGTGAGGAGAGCCAATCCAAGAACGTGGCGACCTGAATTCTATATCTGTTACTACCTCTCTGTGCCATTTTGCCTGTCACTTCACATTTATGGCCCCCAACTATAAACTGAAGGAGCTGAACTAGACCAAGGGGTCTTAACCTGGGTTCCATGGGTAAACTCCAAGGAATCTATGAGATTGGATGAGGAAAAAACATCATGATTTTCTCTAAGCTCTAATTGAATTTTAACATTCCCTTCCATTATTAAAATATTTTCTGAGAAGGGGTCCGTGGGTTGAATTCACTATACAGTTAAAGACAGTCCATAACACTAAAAAGGTTAAGAACTCTGAGATTGGATGATTTCTAAGGTTCCTCCTACCTCTTGCATGATAGATTTGAACATTCTATGGTCTACCATTCTCAGTTCTGATAGTTTACTTTCTAGCATTCCATGTTCCAAGATCCCTCCCAGCCTTAACATTGTGAGGTCTAAGGCTCTTTCCAGTTGTGACGCTGGATGTGCTAAAGTTTCTTCCAGTTTCAGCTTCTTGTGTTTTATGACATTATCTACTTCTACCTTTCTATGAGTTGGCTTTGATATCTTAGAAATGCGAAGTAAGTTACAAAGCAATAGAATAGGAAACATTGGGAAAAGACTGGAAGGGAGTGAAACAAACAATGACTTCTCATCCTCCACTTGAGTTTTGTGACCTTTTTTCTAGGAATAGGAGAGAATATTGAGGATGTGGGGGAAAGGACCTACTTGTACAAAATATTTATTTTGTGATGGCTAAGAATTGGAAATTGAAGAGATGCCCATCAATTGGCGAATGGCTGAACAAGTTGTGGTATATGATTATAATGGAATATTATTGTGCTATAAGAAATGACAAGCAGGATGATTTCAGAAAAACTTGGAAAGACTTACATGAACTGATGCAAAGTGAAATGAGCAGAACCAAGAGAATGTTGTACATAGTAATAGCAATATTGTATGATGAAGAACTGTGAATGACAACTATTCTCAGAAATACAATGGTCCAAGACGATCCCAAAGGGCTCATGATGAAACATGCTATCCGCCTTGACAGAAAGAACTGACATTACTGAATATAGACTGAAGGATATTATTTTTCATTTCCTTTCTTTCCTTTCCTTTTCTTCTTCTCCTTCCTTCCTTCCTTTTCTTTTCATTCATTCATTCATTCATTCATTATTTCTTTCTTTCTTGTACAAAATGACTAATATGGAAATGTTTTACATGATTGCACATACACAATTTATATCAAATTGCTTACCATCTCAGAGGGGGTGAAGGGAGAGAGGGAGGGAAGAAATTTGGAACTCACAACTTAAAAAAATGTTAAAAATTGTTTTAACATGTAATCAGGGGAAAATAAAATATCATTTAAAAAAAGATATCGTGGAGGCCATTTATGCTTTATGTTGGAGTTGGACTAGGTGATAGCTAAAGCCCCTTCCAGCTCTTAGATTCTATGATTCTACCATGTAATTAACTGGCTTTCCTTGAGCAATGTTTCTTGGGAAACAAAGTATTGGTACAGGGTAGGAAGGATGCCCAGTCCAGCCCACTAGATTTAAATACTTGACTAGTGAAGTTGTTACTGATGGTTTTTGTCCTGGATCCCTGCATGTCTAAATTTGAGGCAACATTGTATAGCGAAAAAGATGTTGGATTTCTGAGAGTCAGGAGACCATGTTCTGGTCCAGCTCTACCACTTGGTAGACACCAAGTCACTTCATCTATGAAAACCTCAGATTCCTCACATGTAAATGAGGGGGTGGCCTAGATCATCTTGATGGTTCCCTCCATCTCTATGAGACCATGACATGCTGTGACATTCTGATTTTCTAGAGGGAAGAGACTAGGTCATCTTCTTCCCAGAGTGCCTAGGACCAGACCAGACTATAGCCAGAAATTAACATCATTATGTAATGCCTTTTCAAGTGAGTTTTTCTTCAATCAAGTCTGATCATAGGGGTTGCCAGGGAAACATGGGAGTTAGGACATGGTACCTGACCTGAAGCCGCAACATCAGCAATTGGTCTCTTGGTCACATTTGCCATAAAGCCCACAATGGAGAAGATGACAAAGCCAGCAAACATGCTGGTGCAGGAATTGATACAGCAAACAATGATGGAGTCTCTGAAAGAAAGAGAGCAAAGGGAGTCAGAGGGAGAGACAGAGAGGGAGCAAATTGAGCTAAGAATGAAGATCATGGAGGACAAGGAGATAGAAGGGTAAGAGATGATGACAGTGAGGGGATGGTATCAGAGAGGGATTGGAGATAAATAGAAGGAAGAGTTTGGGGATAAAAGGGAAAAGAAACAGAGATAGTGAATGGATGGGACCAGAAAGGAGTCAGAGAAAGAGGACAAG